TACCGGTGTGCCACTGGGGCCCAACTAATAGCCACATTTGGAGAAGCCAAGTAGAATAAAAACAACAACATCACTTATTACACGACTCGAGGGCTAGTCTTCGAATAAAGAGGGGCAAATAAACATGTTCATCTGTTAAAGATTTGCGATAAAAAACTATAATGTAAACCAGGGAGGGAGGAACAAATCATTCAGTACAGTAGGCCAATGTTACCTTCTCTACTTTTCCTTTTAATAGGGGATGAAGTACTACCATCCGGGTTCTTCGGCTTTCGACCTGAAAATAATAATAGTGTTAAAAATTCCACCAATAAAAGTTGTTCAAAATGATTCTAGAAACTATTGTTTATACCACTAGATGGCGCAGTGCTCTATATCATCCACACTAACATAAACACCAATTATAACAAATTAATTCAGTATAAAAAGTATATTATTGATTTCAATTAAAAACAAGAGGTGGATAAATAATTGCAGGTAATTACATAAATAATTATGGTAAATAACAATTAATAGAGAAAAAAATATAACTAAGCCTAAAGTAAATAAATTATAGAAATAGTAAATAGTGTAATCTAAAATCTTATGATAATTTAGTACAAGAAGCGTTTATGTTTTTATAAATAATTATATAATTACCAATTCACTTTAAACAGTATCTATTGTAAAGTATTTATTTAAGAGGCAAGCCTAGCTATATTAAGTTTTTTTTAATGAATGAAATACCTTCGTTCGTATGTAGTTATACTGAGACCTCCCACAGCACAGAAAAACTAAGCCCCTAAGTGGGAGGTAATTTCCAATTAATTTTATTTTTGTATTAATGACGTCAAATAACCCAATTGAGGATTTATTTAAGAAATAAAAAATAAAACGAACTCAAGTCAGATTCTGTATTTTCTTTCAAATGCTGAAAAAAATAAAGAAAGAAACGATAACAGTTGTAAATAAAGTTTATTATTAATTTTGACTGTAGGGTAGTTATAAAATCTTGCACTCGGTGTGTAGTTCGGACACAGATTAAGTTGAAATTCAGTGTAAGACCATCATAGCATTCTTTAGACAATGATACAAAAGTCACCGTCAGGTGGCGCTGGGTGCATACTCGGTTCTTTTAAAAGCAGAACCTGTAGATCCTGTTTGCATTTCTTGCATATACAGCCTTAATGAAAACCTACCTACTACCAAATAAAAAACAGTACTGAAGAAGTAGTGTTGCGCCACCTTGTGGTGAATATTTTGTGTGTGCCATTGAGTTTCGTATAACACGATGGTCCATATCCAATATCATCACTGGCGGATCCAGCCAATGAATATGAGTGGGCGACAGCTGAGAGGGCGCCTTATCCCCCATTTTTGAGCCACGTTTTATATTTTTAAAAATTTAAATATTTGAGGGCGCACCCTGGATTCGCCAGAGACTTTCATGTCTGAACAACTATACCCCTCTGAACTGGGGGCAAACTTTCTAATTACCTTCTGCATTTGTTTTTCTCTCTTTTTTTCTTTCTTTATTTTTGACAAAAACGTTGAGCTTTGACAGGCGATGGCGCTGTTCATTACTAACGTTATCTGTTAGATTTTTTAAATTTGAAAACATGTTAACTCGTGTATGGCATTACTGTGAATAATGACATGAAAACATAGAAAGCAGCTGAGTAGCACTTCAAAAGTTGTATGGAAATCAGTGTAATATCAAAACCTAAATAGTTGGTCCACGACAAAAGTCTTTCTAAAACAAAACAGTGCATTTGTTTTATAAGACTGTTCATTCAATAATCTATTTATTTGTTCGTTAAATAATGGCCCTTATATGGACAGTGAACGTTTGACAGAACTTACCTTTCTTCTTGGGTCGTGGCTGGAAAGAAAGATCTTGAACATAAGAGGACGGATCTGAATCATTTCCAAGGCTACTGCTACTGTGAGCTGCTGTAATCACAGATGTTGGGATGGAAGATGGCTGTCTGGAGGACGAATGAAGCCCAGAGGATGTTGGGGACGTCGGTGAGGATGAAGAGGGAATATCTAACGGGGAATGCTGTGGCTCTTGATGTGGATGGTAGGGGGGTTGCCCCACATAATGTGGGGAATTCAAATGGCTCGTACTCGTAACATGGAGATTGCTTTGACTGACCGAAGACACAGTGCGATGTAGTACAGGGAAAGAGTGCTGAGTGAGTGAGTGGGGAGAACCCCCACTATGTTGAGAGGCGCTATTAGTGCTATGCGGAGCAGGATACTCTTTTAAGTGGTGGGGCTGTGAGATCTTGTAGTGGCCTTCTGGCGAGAGGGATACAGTACTAGGGACTGCAAGAAAAAGATAAAACAAACTGTCTGGTTTAATTAAAGGAAAAAAAAAACAAGCTACACATTTAAAATAATCTATATCATCAAGTACTTGATAGCATACGATGAGAAATCAGACATTATCCTCTTGATATAGACAGTAACATTTACTTAATGTTTATTAATGAAGGAAGAAATAAATATATTTCAGTTATTTTATGTTTTCACACAGCGGTATTTCAATAACGGAAGGTCCAATGATCCCGTCTCTTAGCAACCAGGCAATACTGAAGTTACTTAGGAAACATCACCGAAGCTTATGTAATTCAAGGAATTTTCACTGGACATTTTTATCTTTACCCTGGGAAGAGCTATTCAGAGTTTTAATGGATAAAATCTTGAACTCAAGAACATTAAAAACTAGGATTATCAGCTATATTTATACAGCTTGATATTGATGTGCACCACACTAAATTATAGCGGAAAACTTCTAACAACTATTCTACAGTACACGTACGCATGCGTGTGGTATAGACAAGTTACTTTCAAACATTACATTACGGCTCGGCATGGCCACGTAGTTAGGGCGCTTGACTCGCAGGTTCGAATCCTGATGACTAGAAGGCCCTCTAGTCTTTCACTGTTAAATTAGGGACAGATAGCCCGCGTGTAGCTTGGCGCGAAATTCAAACATCAGGTTTTTGCTTACACACATGAACGTGAATACAGATTGAAATAACACACTTAGACATTAACACGTGGAACTCCCCCCCTCCCCCATATTGTAGAATTGATAATATAAAAAGAAAACGAAATTAACAGTAATTCATTACAAAATACAATTAAGCCGAAACATATCAGCTTTTGTCGAAAAATTAAAACTTACGGTCTTCTCTGTTCAAATAGAAAAAAAATTATATATATTACAGTTGGGAGATATGAAAAGAAATATATATATATATATATATTTTAATATAAAACGCGGCCCAAAAATGGGAGATAAGGCGCCCTCTCGTTCATTGGCTGGATCCGCCAGTGATGATATTGGATATGGACCATCGTGTTATACGCAACTCAATGGCACACACAAAATATTCACCACCAGATGGCGCAACACTACTTCTTCAGTACTGTTTCTTATTTGGTAGTAGCAAAGGAAGTACTTTTAACGTTACATATACATATAACTATGTATTTTGTTTGTTCGTTTGAAGATAGGCACAAAGCTACACAATGGGCTATCTGTGCTATGCCCACCACCGGTATCGAAACCCGGTTTCTAGCGTTGTAAGTCCGCAGACATACCGCTGTGCCACTGGAGGGCAACTATGTATTTAAAAGAATTGTGAAACATCAAGACAATACAAAGTATCAGTGACAATGTAACAAACTCAATGTGGAAAGTCAGAAATATTCTTAAATATTTGCTTGAAGAGATCGTCATTTTCATGTCTACGACGCCAAACGAACTCGCAAGTGATACGAGTCAATCATGTAACGATTGGTTCCACAATGTCGCTTGTTACGTCACTTAGCAACATTCCGAGTACTTTCAATTTACTGCAGATTTCAGATATATATAAATTAAAATTTGGAGAATTGATTTTTAAAGTGGAAGAAATGGAAAATATTTTCTTTGTTTAAATAATTTTTAATGAAACTTAGTTTTTATTTAAATACACATGTAATTATTTACTAATTAGTCTAACTTGATCTAACCTCACATAAACTGACCTAATCTAGCAAAATAAAAAAAACAATTCATTTTTTTATTGTGATATAACTAGGAATATTTTAACAACTGCACATAAATTAAACACGTAATTATTTACTAATTAGTCTAACTTGATCTAACCTCACATAAACTGACCTAATCTAGCAAAATAAAAAAAACATTCATTTTTTAAATTGTGATATAACTAGGAATATTTTAACAACTGCACATAAATTAAAATAAAGAAGATACTCATTTTAACTGTTATAACATTATTAGGTATATTGTCAATTGACAGGGATAGTGATACTAAGTGCCAATAGATGGCGGTAAAAAAGCCTCGAGAAAAATTCAGCTATAAAAAAAATGGCGACAGCAGCAGCCTTGAAAGGATATTGACATTACTATTGTGAGATATAAATCAATGCATAACTGTTTTTTTTCTTTCTTTTTCCACAAGCAGGTGTAGAATACCGGAGCTAGTCTGGAAAACATGTGGCGGGTTGTCGTTACACGCTATTAGAGGAATAAGCGTTGCATGTGTAATCTGGAAGTCAATCATCGGAGTGAAATTCCCCAGTTGCATCAGTATTAATTCTACATTTCCTCGAAAACAGTGAAAACCGACTTTGCGAAAACCATCGGACAACATAGCTTTGTTAGAATTATGTATTTGTTTTTAGCAAAATGAATACGCAGATGCGTTTTAAAATGGAAAAATTTTTCCTGAAGGAAATATTTCTCTTCTTCTTACTTATAGCTACTACAATAAAAAAACAAAAAACATTGCGGTTATATTACGCAGTAAACAGAATTTTCTCAAGCCTAGACATAAACGTATTTTAAATCATTTGTTTGTTTGTTGTTAAGCTCAAAGTTACACAATGAGCTACCTATACCGTGTCCTCCTCGGGTATCGAAACCCGGTTTTTAGAGTTATTAACATTCAGATTTTTCCGGTGGGGCCCTTTTCTCGCAAAAATGAATATATGATTATTTTCATCTGCTCTCATCCTTATTAAGATGCTACTAAGCAGAAAACTAACAAATTCAGTTCTTTAAAAAGTGTTTACATCTTTGATTATCGGCATCGTTACATTTTAGTCCATTGATTCGTGATAATTTATTACTTGATTATTAGTTTTGGTCCATTACAAATGTGTGATGTAAAACAATCAAAGAAGGGGTTAAAGTTCAACAACATATGCACGTGTTAGTAACCAAGTAATATACATCACGTGTTCATTCATAATTACTGAATTATGTTTTTTTCTAAGTTACTAACGATAGTTGCTGTACTCATTTTTATTTGCTTAAAAGGATATTGATTTTTTTTTTTTTGGAGAAAACCGGAAACAGATAATACAACCGGAAATGACATCTCTATCTAATATCGCTCTTGGTTAACCAAGTTTGGGATATTAGCTAGAATAATTTATATCCTTTCGCAGTTATTAGAAAAAAGTTTCGTGAATCGAAGGTTTCATGAAATAAATGTTCGTTCCTCTAATAAAAACAGTTTTTAAACACTACTTTTATCAATAATATAAGAAATGACTTTTCAATATGAAACAATGAAACTAGACCAGAAAAAAATATTACAGGCGTAGTGAGGTCAAGTCTTAGATTAGCTTCCAAGCCATTTAAACCTAGTGTTCCAAAGACAATGAGAAAAAGTACCCATATGAAATACCCTGCCCCCTCTGCTCCCGGGAGGGAAGGTAATAAGAAGGCCAGAGGCTGATCTTCGCCTTCAGTCAGGAAAACCATGTTAAGATGGTGGCGTATTCCAGGAGAGATCAAGGACAGGTCATTACTGGTGTCAATGTTCTAGCTTGAAACAAAAGAGTGTGGAACAGCATTTTAACGGCTGCAGGTGAATTAAACGTGCAGGTTAATTAAGGCCAACTAAAATAAATTAGCAGTTAATGGCCCTTAGTTCTAAAACAGTAATAACAATGGAAGGGATATTTATTATTTTACTTGTATTTTTTTTTTCCAAGATCTCCAATTCTACTGTGAGATGTCAAGAAAATTAGGGCTGCGAGAGGGGTTGTAGAAATAAAGTATTTGGGGGCAGCGGTTTCAAATAGGGGCATGTGTGTCTGATTAACTACCAATTTCTCTTGACCGACCAAAAGTTCAACTGTAAATCCTATTCAGTTCAAAACTAAACTATATTTTTTAGTGAATAGTTATAGAAGGAAAAACCAGAGGGTCACTCTCACGTAAATATTTTAACACTTTCTCAAGCCTAAAACATAAGCAAAATTTTAAATATTTTTTTTCTCTCGCTTTGTTTGTTTGTTTGTTTGTTGTTAAGCGCCAAGTTACACAATGGGCTATCTGGGCTGTTCCAGCACGGGTATCGAAACCCGATTCTTAGCGTTGTAAGCCATCTTTCGTTATCGGTATCGGTACATTTTGGTCCACCGTTTTATCATAATTAATTAAAAAATTAATTACTAGATTATTCATTCATTATATATATATATATATAAAACGTATTTGAATCTTTGATTATCATATATAATAAAATGAGAAAAATACATTTTTTTTTAGTTGACTAATTCACGAAGACTGTCTAATTTCAGTCCAGCTGGAGCAAACATTTCATGAATTAAAAGAACAAAACAACGGAAATGTTTTTTGTTTTCTTTTTTCACCTATCACGTAAAAAAAAAAATATACCTCTGATAAATAAACATGTCGCCAAGTCCTGCATTTCCTTTTTTTTTCTCTCTCTCTCTCTCTATTTCTCAACCGCACAGGTAAACAACGATAATGGTAAACATTAATGTTTTACTAAAGACTCTTCCTTTTACGCCCTCTGCAAATCTCTGGGGCCTGGGAAACTCGTGGATCAACATCATTACTTTGTCAGAGTCAAGAGACCTTTTTTTTTTTTTGTCTATCCCTTGGGCTCGACCGGAAAAGTATGGTGAGGGGGAGGGGGAAAACAAATTCTATTTTGTGAGCTTACGTAACATTTACAGTGTAGTCGTTTCGAGTTTGATGTCATTGTTGATTCAAACTGACGTCATCTGGTTTACAGATAAACAAGTAAACAACTCTTGAAATAGACGTGCCCGTGTCTGTTGCACCGCCTGATCGAAAAACGAGACGGCAGCGGCTCGAGGGATGAAGTAAGTGGGTCAGAAATCGTAGACTATACACTCCACACAGCCACAACAAGAGGACTTCTAGTGCTCTCGGAACCCAGAGGTGGTCGAGCGTAAGGTTATAATTTCTAAGGCAGGGACAATTGTAGCGTGCCTCTACGTACAAATCAGGCATTTGCAACCAT